AAAGGGATGGGACCTGATAAGATGCATCTGCAGATCCTGAGAGCCCAGCTGAAGTGCCTCTACACCAATGCATGCAGCATGGGCAACAAACAGGAGGAGCTGGAAGCTCCTGGTTGAAAACTTATGCGACAGAATTAGAGACCAAGGCAATAAAGGAAACCTTGTGATACGTGCCTACTACAGGCTGCCCAATCAATGGGAGCCTGTTGATTAAGCCTTCCTGTTCCAATTGCAGGAGGCTTCATGCTTGCAGGCTCTCATCCTGCTGGGGGACTTCAACCACCCCAGCATCTGCTGGAATGTAGCATGGCAAGCTACAGGCAATCCAGGAGACTCCTGGAGTGCATTGAGGATAACTTCCTAAATCAGGTAACGGACAGCCCTACCAAAGGGTATGTGAAGGTCACCAACACAAGTGAGCTAATTGGTGACATCAAGATCGGAGGCAGCCTGCGCCGCAGTGATCATGTACTGGTGGAGTTCACAGACCTGAGGAATATGGGTCAGGTGAAGGGTAAAGTCAGGACCCTGAATTTTAGGAAAGTCAACTTCCAGCTGTTCCAGCAGTTAGTCAATAGGGCCTCTTGGGAATCTGCCCTCAGGGACAAGGGAATGGAACAGAGCTGGCAGATCTTTAAGGACACTTTCCACAGAGTGCAAGAGCTCTCGATCCCCAGGTGTAAGAAACCAAGAAAGGGAGGCAAGAGACCGGCATGAATGAGTTAAGACCTGCTGGTCAAAGCAAAGAGCAAGAAGGAAATGTACGGGCAGTGGAAGTAGGGACCAAGTATCCTGGGAAGAGTATAGAGACTCTGTGTAGGGATGGGGTCAGGAAGGCCAAGGTGTGGCTGGAGCTGAACTTGGCAAAGGATGCAGAGAATAACAAAAAGGGCTTCTACAGGTCTGTCAACCAGAAAAGGAAGGTCAAAGAAAGTGTATCCCCTAGTGAACACGACTGGCAAAGTGGTAACCACAGACTGGTAACAACAGAGGAGAAGGCTGAGGTACTCAACAACATTTTTGCCTCAGTTTTTACTGTCTGCCCCTCTACCCACTAATCTCGAGTGGATGGACCTCAAGGCAGGGCCCAGAGGAGCGAAGTCCTTCCCACTGTAAGTGAAGATCAGGTTTGAGACCATCTGAGGAACCTGAACATACATAAGTCTAAGGGGCCTGATGAGATGCATCCCAGAGTCCTGAGGGAATTGGCTGAGGTAGTTGCCAAGCCACTCTCCATGATATTTGAAAAGTCATGGCAGTCAGGTGAAGTCCCTGGTGACTGGAAGAAAGGAAATATCACAGCCATTTTAAAACAGGGTAGAAAGGAGGACCCTGGGAACTACTGACCTGTCAGCCTCATCTCTGTGCCTGGGAAGATCATGGAACAGATCCTTCTAGAAGCTCTGCTCAGGCATATGGAGGACAGGGAGGTGATTCGAGACAGCCAGCATAGCTTTACTATAGGCAAGGCCTGCCTGATCCACCTAGTGGCCTTCTATGATAGGGCGACTACATTAGTGGACAAGGGAAGAGCTACATATGTCATGTATCTGGACTTCTGTAAGGCCTTTGACATGGTGCTTCACAACATCCTTCTTTCTAAATTGGGGAAATAAGGATTTAATGGATGAACTGTTTGGTGGATGAGGAATTGGCTGGATGGTCACATCCAGAGGGCAGTTGTCAATGACTCAATGTTCAAGTGGAAACTAATAATGAGTGGTGTCCCTCAAGGATCTGTACTGGGACCAATACTATTTAATATCTTCATCAATGGCATAGACAGTGGGATTGAGCGCACCCTCAGCAGGTCTGCAGATGACAACAAGCTGAGTGGTGTGGTTGACACACCTGTGGGATGGGATACCATCCAGAGGGACCTGGACAAACTGAAGAAGTGGGCCCATGTGAACCTCATGAAGTTCAACAAGGCCAAGTGCATCCATGCCTGGGTCAGGGGAATCCCTAGTATCAATACAAGCTAAGGGATGAAGGGATTGAGAGCAGCTCTACAGAGAAGGACTTCAGGGTACCAGTGGATGAAAAATCACATATGAGCTGATAATGTGCTCTTGCAGCCTGGAAAGCTGGTCATATCCTGGGCTGCATCAAAAGAAGTGTGGCCAGCAGGTCGAGAGAAGTAATTCTGCCCCTCTGCTCTGGTGAGACCCCACCTGGAGTACTGCGTCCAGCTCTGGAGTGCTCAGCACAGGAAAGACATGGATCTGTTGGAGCAGGTCTAGAGGATGCCACAAAGATGATCTGAGGGCTGGAGCACCTCTCCTGTGAAGAAAGACTGAGAGAGTTGGGGTTGTTCAGCCTGGAGAAGAGAAGGCTCCAGTGAAAGCTTATGGCAGCCTCTCAGTACTTAAAGGGGCTTCTAAGGAAGATGGGGACAATCTTTTTAGTGGGTTCTGTTGTGATAGGACAAGGAGTAATGGATTTAAACTAAAAGAGGGTAGATTTAAACTAGATATAGGGAAGATGTTTTTTACCATGAGGGCAGTGAAACACTGGCACAGGTTGCCCAGTGAGGTGGTAGAAACCTCATCCCTGGAAACATTCCAAGTCAGGTTGGACAGGACTCTGAACAATCTGATCTAGTTGAAGATGTCCCTGCTGATTGAAAAGCATTGGACTAGATGGCCTTTAAAGGTCCCTTCCAACCCAAAGCATTCTATGATTCTATGATACTGTGAACTGGTAGATGAAGGTGCTAGGCCACTGTCCATCATGCTTGAAAATTCATAGCAATCTGGTGAAGTTTCCAGTGTCTGGAAAGGAGGAAATATAACCACCATTTATAAAAAGGAGAAAAAGGAAGGCCCAGAGAACTACGGTCAGTCTCACCTCTGTGTCTGGCAAGATCATGGAGCAGATCCTCCTGGAAACTATGCTAAGACACATGGAAAATAAGGAGGTGATTGGTGATAATCAACATGGCTTCACTAAGGGCAAACCGTACCTGACAAGTTTGGTGGCCTTTTATGATGGGGTTACAGTATTGGTGGATAAGGGAAGAGCAACTGATGTCATCTATCCAGACCTGTGGAGAGAATTTGACATTGTCCTGCACAACATCATTGTCTCTAAACTGGAGAGGCATGAACTCGATGGATGGGCCATTCAGCGTATAAGAAATTAGCTGAATGGTTGCACCCAAATAGTTGTAGTTAATAGCTTGATATCCAAGTGGAGACTGGTGACAAGTGGTGTTCCTCAGGGGTTGGTATTGGGACTGGCACTGTTTAACATCTTTGTCAACAACATGAACAGTGGGATTGAGTGCACCTTCAGCAAGTGTGCTAGCACCACCAAGCTGGGTGGTGTGGTTGACATGCTGAAGGTAGGGGATGCCATTCAGAGGGAACTCGACAGGCTTGAGAGATGGGCCCATGCCAGCCTCCTGAAGTGTAACAAGGCCAAGTGCAAGGTCCTACACCTGGGCTGGGCCAATCCCAGATACAGGCTGGGCAGAGAATGGATTGAGAGTAGTGCTGAGGAGAAGGACTTGAGGGTGTTGGTTGATGAGATGCACAACATGAGCTGACAATGTGTGCTTGCAGCCCAGAAGGTCAACTGCATCCTGGGCTGCACCACAAGAAGCTTGGGCAGCAGGTTGAGATAAGTCATTCTGCCCTTTACTTGGCTTTCATAAGACTTCTCCCCTGGAGTACTGCATTCAGCTCTGGGGCCCCCAACATAAGAAAGACATGGAGCTGTTGGAAAGAGTCTAGAGGAGGGCCATGAGGATGATCAGAGGGCTGGAGCACTTCTGCTGTAAGAAAAGGCTGAGACAGTTGGGGCTGTTCACTCTGGAGAAGAGAAGGCTCTTGGGAGACCTTATAGCAGCCTTCCAGTACCTAAATGGGGTCTGTGAGAAAGCTGGGAAGGGATTCTTTATCAGAATGGGCAGCAATAGGAAGAGGGATAATGGTTTTAAACTAAAAGAGGGTAGATCTTTATTGGACATTAGGAATAAATTCTTCACTGTGAGGGTGGTGAGACACTGGCACAGGTTGCCCAGGAAAGTTGTGGATGCCCCCTCTCTGGAAGTGTTCAAGGCCAGGTTGGACAGGGCTTTGGGCAACCTGGTCTAGTGGGAGGTGTTCCTGCCCATGGCAGAGTGAGGATGGAACCAGATGATCTTTAAGGTCCCTTCCAACCCAAACCATTCTGTGATTCTATGATCCTATGGCCAGCATAGAGCCTTTATTGATGAGACACAGATCAGAGCCATGGGGTCAGTCCTGGCTCTGAGGCCCCTTGCCCTTGAGCAGCAAAGGCAGAACCAGTTTCTGTGGTGCAGCAGCCCCTCTTAGGCAGTAGTCTGCCAAAACATCCAGCGCATCTATGTTGAGCTGCTACAACCTGGGATTGCCATGAGCCAGACAGGTTGGTGAGGGAGCCCCTCTAGACCTGGCAGGGTTGTGGCACCTAGATCAGCATCAGGCAGATGGAATCCCAGGAAGTGATTGTGTGGGGTGGGAAGGACCAGGCTAGCACTATGGGGCTATGGATTGTCCTCCCCCTCGGCTCTTGTTGGCCTTGGGTTTTATTCTTCTCCCAAAGTAGGACAGGTAACTTGTGCTCCTGAGCCGTGTGGATCTTACAGCAGTTTGATGCTCCTCTGACAAAACACAGTTTTGGTGTTGATGGAGATACCCCACTTTTTCTGGGCCTGCCTGAAGGGACAAGAGACCCTGGGTGGTACAGCTGGTTCTCTTCATCCCTGGCACAGACGGGCTGTGATCCCAGTTAAGTTCCTGTGCAAACTCTGGGCAAAGGGTCAGGTTCCTACTTCAAAGCCTGACCACAATTTGAAGACAGTTCAGCCTGTGCTCTCCAGCTGCAGAGAACCCTTTGGGGTGGCTTTTCAAGGGAGTAAAGCATCTTCGGGCTATGCACATCCTTCTTGTCTCCTTTGGTTTCCGCTGTTACTGATAGGCGGCTGTCAAGAGAGTCAAAGTCCTGGCCAGAGATGGGCTGTGGCCTTGTGGCTACTTGAAATTCCCATAGGTTTCAAATGAGTTCAAGTAACTGAGGGCTAGTTCGTAGCAGAACCCATACTGCTCCTGTGGACAGAAGGATGCACGTGAGAACCTGGTACACCAACACCTGCAGTGGAAGGCCAGCCTTGGTTGCCAACAGCTTCCTGAGCAAGCCAGGTGCAGGTACAGCCCATTCTCCTCCTGCCAGTGAAAGCCCACCTTCCTGTGCTGAGGAATGACAGGCATGTCCTCCAGTACCTGAGAGCTGGGCTACCCCAGTGCTGGAGTCAGCTGGTCTTGGGAGGAGAGCCAGCAACCATGGCAAGAAGCATCTGCTGCTCACTCCTATCTGGGGTGCTCACTCTATGATGGCACGAAGCACCCAGACTGGGTGGTGAGGTGGGTGCAGGATGGGCTCCCATTAGTGCAGCCCCACAGTGAGCAGGCCAGGTGGTCCAGAAAGGGGCAACTCAGCCCACAGGATGCTTCTGCCCACTGGCAGAAAACAGGGTTTTCAGAGGTCTCATCTGCCCCTCCTGCCCCCAGGATGACCTGAGGATATAGGTGCTAGGGCAGCTGCTAGGACAGGCCAGACTATGGTTCTTGCTCCAATGCTGCTATCCTGGCTGGGTTTCAAGTCAGCACCTACCACATCTTTAATCAGCTGTCTCCGCCGCCTCTTCAGCATCCTCACAGCCTGGGATACATCCACCAGCCCCTCGCTTTGGATCTGCTCACACAGGAAACTGGCAGCACAGAAGATTCCGCTCCGGCTGGCACCATCCCTGTGGAGGAGAGCAAGGGGATTGCCCTGGGATCACCTGGCAGTGCTGAGCCTCAGAGGGTCCCACTATCCATGCAGGCTCTCAGGATGGTCTTGCACACAGATCCTGCACTCAGTCAAGTCTTCTTCCCCGAACACAGCTGAATTCATGTCCATATGTCCACCCTTCACCAGAGCTGAGGATGTTGCTGCAACCCAAGTCCATTGATGCATCCTGGGTTGAGACAGCTCTGTGCCATGGCTGCTCCTCCAAGAGACATCACTCACCAGCAGGTGACGAGGATATGTCCATCTTTGCTCTGCCGATGGTGTGTCTCCACCTTCCCAAGGAGGCTGATAATGGTCGCAGGGTGTGGGGGAAGATGCTGTTGCATGGGCCAGTCCTTCAGTTGCCAGAACTGGACTTCCAATGCAGACTTCTTGGGCTAGTGGGGAAGAAAGACAGTGGGTTGGGCAGAGAAGAAGCACATTGACTTCATGGAGGGAAGGGAGGGACAGCATGTGTCAGTCCTGGCTCAGCCATGCACCCTGGAACAAAGGAGCAGCTCCACAGTGGGATGGTCCAGTCCCAGACTCTGCCTTTCTCTATTGAATGCTCTGAGACCAGCAGATGGACAGAGCACAAGGTAAGAGCTGACTACCATGTGCTGCTCAGACCGATGCCAGTACAGCACCCAGCTAATGGCTGTCCCCATCCATGAACCACCACCAAGATGCACAAACTCTATCCACGGCTGCTGTCCTCCAAGTTAGAAAGGCACACAAATGTACTTCTGCCCTGTACCTCTTCCCGCAGCCTCACCCTCTTGGGACGAACCTCTCTCCCAGGATGAAAGGTCCTTCTCTGTTCACTACCCTTCCAGGACCCCATTGGATCTCTCTGGCCGTTGTGACCTCTGCCACCTCTAGCTGTGACTTTGACACCACATCAAAGCCTGCTGATACTGGAGCCTGGCTGGTCCTCCCAGGTCTTGCAAAAGCTTTTCTCACAGGACTTTGCCCTCTCTGTGCAAAGAGCCCACCTGTTGCTTGTTGGTAAGGGCAAGTGTCCAGGCTGTGAAGCCAACTCCAGGCTCCTCTGAGATCAGCTGGACGTGGAAACGGCCATAGGCAGCTTCTCCCTCAGTGGGCCAGAACTCCACATATGTCTGGAGAGGGAGAACAGCATGATCACACAGTCCTGCTCTGCAAGCATGGCAGAGCTCAGCACCTTGCATGGGTGTCCTTGCAGGAGTCCCTTGCCCATAAGCCACAGGTGGGTGCTCTGCATGACGTTTGCCAACCCATGGTGCTGCAGTCAGAAAAATAACACTTCTGCAGAGAGGACACCTGGGCAGGAGTAAGCAAAACCAGAGGGATGCTCCCTTGCTGTGAGACAAGGGGCATCCCACTGCTGTAGTGCTGAGGTGCAAGGACACTGCTCTCCTGGGTGGAGCACACAAGCTTGCAGCAGTCCCCTGCAGCAAGCAGGCTCTAATGTGGAGAGCTGTGTGGGGGCAAAGGCAGCAAGCACACTGCTGGCTCTAGTGGGAGCACTGCTGACCTTGTCCAGCTCCTCGATCTGGTTCAGCACAACCACAGACGTGCAGGTGTAATCCCAGACCAAAGCCCAGAAATCCACCAGCGTGCTGGCAAAAGGCAGCTGGGTGACGATGAGTCTGTCCTCCTCGGTGTATGTCTGCAAAACACAGAGGGGTATGGGGAGGGGAGGGGGGGGGAATCACACAATCCACCCCCTGTGAGCCTGACAGTGGGAACACCCCTCTGCCTCCCTCCAGCTTAGCATCTGCAGAGCCCAAGGAGATGCAGGGCACCCCAGCCCTGCTCGGAGCAGGCTTGCACCCTGCTGCTCCCGCAGCTCATCACACCCGGTCTCTGCTCCCTCAGGCAACGGCCGGCGGGGAGGGAGCTGGGC